CACGACGTCGTCCCATTTTTGCTCACATTAGCTCAATCGAGCTTAGCCACCCGTGTTCCTTTCATTGGCTGATTTCAATTGTTTGTTGATAATAGTTAGTTAATTACTGTTTAGTGACCGTTGTAAATGGTAGGGTTTCCTTTTAGTGTAGCCTATATATACTGCTTGTAAAGTTTCTTCTCAATTCAATGAAACAAAAGGTTTCACACAACCCTATTCTTATTGACCCTTAATGCTAAAGGTAAAACATTTTTGGGCTAATTCCAGTAGAAAGCCCAAACTATTCTAAAAGTTTCATTTGTGTCTAAATTATTTAATATGATACATCTGGCACAAACTATATGCGTTTCATGACATTTGTGTTCTAAGTTATTCAATATGACAAATCTGGCACAAACCACATAGATGCTGACTAGATTTTCGGTCAAATACTAATGGTCTACGCTAGTCAACATTAACAAAAAAATAGTTCGTGCCAGATTTGTCATATTGAATAGTTTAGGACACAAATAATACTTTTTAAATAGTTTGGGCTTTCTAGTGGAATTACCCAACATTTTTTTTACCATTAACGAGTCAGCAAAAAGATGCTGATGTGCCGTCCATGACAATTACTCATTCATAAAAAATTTTAAAATTTTTATAAAAAAAAAAGAAAAAAAAAGGAAAGGGGTAAATTTTAGGGAATTATTTAAAAATTTTCAAGGTGACTTTTAAAATAGTGGCATCATGCATCAGGCACGTCAGAAGTTTTTTTGCTAAGTCATTAACGGTAAAAATATTTGACCATTAGTATTGACGGTCAACCAAAACTTCGAGCTAAACTGTCCATTATTTTCAAAAGTTGGCCATAACCGTATTATTTGAAAGTTAGAGCCAAAATTGATACTTATGCCAAACTAGGGAATCAACCCTTTTACAAATAAGTCAAATTTTAATTTTAATACGCGTAGTTAAAAACAATCTCAAGTAAATAAATATCCATACCAAACCCATGCTCATTTAGATTATGAAAGCAATATTCATACTCTACTCAAACCCACTTCGAACGGTGGGCAATTGTCATCCCTATCCATGATGAATGATATATTGTATTGATGTTATTAATTATAATTATTATTTTATGTTAAAAGTGAGTGATTATAAATAAAATTTTTGGATTATATTTTATTATTAAAATAAAAATAACAAAAACATTTCACATGTGAAAGTTGTTTTTGGTTAGTGGTTAATTGTCAAAAAACCGTTAACCGATAAAAATTATCGGTTCGTTATTAAGAAGCATTTTTCACTTCTCATTTATTCAATATTCCATTCATTTTTTTTTTCTTTTTTTCCCAAAATATGTCATTTCTTTCTCTTTGCAAGATGCAGACGCTCATCCCTGTGCCGATCGACACTAGAGTCATCACTGTAACATGAATCCTCTCCAACTTGCTGAACAACAGGGGCATGTTGGAGCTGGCGCAGCAGGAGCTAGATGTATCAAATCAAAGTCGGCAAAACTCGTGTGGTTGAATACTCCGACATTGACAACTTCTTGTACCTCAAGGCCATTGTCAAGGAGACCTTACGCCTAAACCCGCCAGCCCCAACGGCACACGCATGTTTGTGAACCTGTGGAAGCTACATCGAGACCCGAATGCATGTGTGGTCGGATCCTGATGTGTTCAAGCGCGCGATTCGGCTGATTCACGATCTGGCAAGAATTTCCAGTTGCTCCCGTTTGGATTAATGGGGAGGAGGTCAGCATAGGAGAGTCTTCCAGCTCTCTCGTGGTTTAACCTCACATCGAGGAATATCATCACATAAATTTGTTGTTATTTATTTTGTGTTTGTTGTCGATAGTTTTTTTCTATATGTCTAACATGTTTGAAAATAAAATAAAGTGGTAATTAAATCTCTTGATAAAATTAATTGACGATAACTAGTCAACATTGCATTCTCATCGACTTGCTACCCTCGTCTTACTAGCTACCTCCATGAAGCCATGTTACCCACCTTGATGAAATAAAGAACTTAACCCCTTCAACTTCTAAGTACATGGCGCCTTACCCATAAGGATTTCATATTCGGAGAGCTCGACCTGGTACCATCCTGTAAGTCTTGTACCAAGTTTATCTTGTCACCTGTTTGACTTGCCACCAAACTCATCCCAATGACTTGCAACCTTCCAGCTTGTCACCTAGCATGTCTCGTCGGGTTGGTATCTTTGCGGCTTGCCGACAAGCCCTTCTTGTCAGCTTGTCAGCAAATTCCATTTGTCGAGTTAGGACCCTGCCAGCTTGGTACCAAGTCGGTCTCATCTTAACATTGAGCTGGCCATATAAATTCATCACATCTCTTATAATTAATCAATATGGTATGTGAGTAATTTTTAGGTGAAAAAAGAAATTAAATGGCTCCACAATTAAAATGGGTAATCAAAACGACCTCCACAATTAATCTTCTTCAAATTATATATGTGCCCATTCAAATATTACACGCACTCGTACCTAATGGTGGTGTTGACAAAGTGAAAGGGAAATCATGTGTTGCATATCATTTTAAATTGCACGAATTGCATTATCTAGTGTTACCCTATTATTTCTTCTTCTTCCTTCTTTGAGGTAGTATATTAATTTATGAGTTCTATCTGTGCAAGCGTTGGAAATGAAAAGATCGATTAAAAAAAAAAAAGACTTACTGTTTTTTACTCGAAAATGTATAATTTTTTAGTTGAATGAGTGATCAATTTATGAATGATATTTTATGCATTGTGGAATGAAATTAATTATTTTTTTTTTCATTAGACCACTCGTATCTAGAGCTGGAAGTTTGGTACTGGTATTTGAGATATACTGAATATCGTACCGAATTTATCACTATTTGGTATTACAGAATACCGACTTATTTTTTAGGGATTGAGATTGAGATTCATTTTAAAGTGCTATTTGGTATTCAGGATTATGGGATTGTGATCAGTATATACCGAAATACCGATAAAAACCGAAAATAAAAAATTCATGAAATATAGAACCAACATTTGGGCATCCCTCACTCTTTCACAACTTAGAAGTCCCCATCTAACTCAATTTTGACTTTGTAGTTCAAGTCACTCTCGTCTCTCACCTAACATCTTGTTATTTTCATAACACCAAAAGACAAAAACTAGTATTTGTCGTCTCTCAGCCTCCAATTCGTCATATTAAAGATTACCAATGACAATAATTTGAAATACTTTATAAAATTGATAGACTACAATTTTAAAATTGAAGGATATATTTTATCTTGTTTTTTCCATCTTTTTTATTCATTTATGTTAAAAATCATATTTACTAAATAAAATAAAATTGATAGACTACATTTTAAAAAATATTGAAAGTCAGGATTTCTTTATAAAGTATAAATATCCAATATCAGAGCCCCTATAGCTCAGTGGTAGAGCGTCAGTCTTGTAAACTAAAGGTCCGTAGTTCGATCCTGCGTGGGGGCATTGATTAATTAAATTTTATTCTATGAAAAGAAAAGGATATTTTATATATATTTTGTTCACATACATATAAGAATCACAATTACTAAATGATAAACTTGTTGGACTACAACACTTAGATAAGGAAAGTGAATCTAGGGCTGCATGAATCGGGAATAAGACCAAACAGCGAGTTGAGAAAGATGAAGGGAATCATGAGAAGTCAATGATGCCTCTCACATCATCTCTTGGTTGTTCTTATTCTTCTTCATCTTCATCACCAAACCTTTCTTCCTCTTCTTGATGCCGATTATGAACAAAGTTTCTTTGAGGCATCCTTCTTCCCATGAATGGGTAATATTGCTGACGGTTCCTCCCTTTACGTTCTTTTAAAGCTCATTCTCGTTCAACTGTAACTTGTTTAGCACGGTACCTTTCAACTTTATCGTGCTCCACCCTCTCTTTCTCTCGTCTAGCACATTCTTCTTAATCTCACTCCACCATGGCTAGACGTTCATTGAGGTTAGATCAGCTCGCCATACTCAAGACAATCGATCTATAAGGGTTGTGAGAGCCATGTCACTTACCTCGACACCTGGTTCTTGCCATGATAATAAACTCCACAATACAAACTCGAACACAAGGTTGGTCTCTTGCAACCATCTTTTGGAGTGGAGAAGTCAGCATCCTAAGCAACCATTCAAGTGTCATCAAGTGTTTCAAGTGCCAAAGAAGGGGGCCCTAACAAAAGTGTCATGGTTCTTTGAAGCAATGAAGATTGAAGAGTATGCATATGAGAATGAAGAAAAAGTGACAGTGATTTCTCGTAAGTCTGCAAGGTTGAAAAGCTTCCATGGTTGCCTTTTCACTTCACGGGCCTGGCCTTTATATCACGGTCGGCCTGACCGTGAACTTTTGGCTTCCAACCGTGATCCTCGATTGTTTTCTCCCTTTGATCCGTTTTCGCCCCTTTTCGTCCAACTTTCGCTCCCGAGGTCAACTCCACCTGCTAGGATCTGAAACATACTAGAAACAAGCACAACCTAGCGTAAAATCGAACCTCACAGAGTGAAAATGCCTCAAACATCTAAGGAATATGGGGAGAAAATGTGTACAATTGGACCCAAATTATCGTTAATATGTTACCGTTTATTTCGGGACCACTCCAAATATGACTATTTTTTTTGTAGCCATTACTTTATGATCGTTTTTTGTCATTTTGTGCATCATATGTCTTTATAAATGACAATTCTTCATTTTTCATCAACTCATTTGAAACTTCTTTCCATTTCTAAAACAAACACATTCATCATGAGTATCTCAGATAGCTTATCGCCTGGAGGAGAAGAAGAAATCGAAGAGTTCGAAAGGTTTCACCACATATTTATGAGTTTAATCGGCCAGAGGCTGGTTGAAGGTTCATCAAGTTGCTGTCAAACTACAAATTCATGTCACAATAATCGTGAAAGGGTCGAATGTAATCTATGTCTTATGAAGGATTACTTTGATCCAAATCTAGTATACAATGCTCGCATATTTAGAGGCGCTATCGGATGCAGCCTAGATTATTCCATCGCATTATGGGCGCTATTGTGAGGTTTGACCCCTCATTTTCTCTAAGGTGTGATAGCTTTGGTTAATTATCACAATCTCAAGAGTAGAAGCTTACTGGTGCGATGCGCATGCTAGCATATGGTTCTCCAACTGATCAACTTGATGAGTATGTTTGGATGGGTGAGAGCACCTTGATGGTTCTTCAGCTGATTTAAGGATCTTACTTCATAAAGACTCAAGTCGTGGCTTTCCTGGAATGATTAGATCAATTGACTACATGCATTGGGAATGGAAGAATCGTCCAAGTGTTTGGGCAGGACAATACACTGGCCACATGCGTAGCCCAACAATCATTCTGGAGGTGGTGGCCTCCTACAACACATGTATATGGCATGCTTTCATTGGGTCACCTGGATCGAACATCGAAATAAATTTTTTGTGGATGTCTCCAGTGTTTGATTGTATCGTCAATGGAAGCGCTCCACATGTATGATGTGAGGTAAATAGTCATGCTTACGATCAATGTTATTATTTGACTGACAGTATTTATACCCTCATGGTCGACTCTGGTGAAGACCTTCAGCAATCCAAGGTCAAATAAAGAGGCTTTGTTTGCTCAACATCAAGAAGCTCACCACAAAGACGTAGAGTGAACATTTGGAATCCTCCAAACAAGATGGGTGATGACTCGGTGTTTGCACATGTTTTCCCCTACTGGAATCCAATTCCGGTAGTGGAGTTCTGTGTTCATAGCCTCAGCTTTCTATCCCGGTGAAGGTTAGTTGCCTGCCGGGTAGTTGGACTGAGAGGGCTTAGTCAGCTTAAGAGATTCCAAGCTACTGTCGGATCTTCCGTAGTTTAATCAATAGTAGATCAACCAAAGGTAATTGCAACTTGGACCTAATTGAGGAGCTAGAGGGAATCATACCTAAGTGAGTTCACAACTTGTAATTAGTAGAGTAGTCAGTAGAGTAGTTTATAAATCAATCCTTAATCTAGTTTGCTAGATAATGAACTGAAGCTGAGTAATAGTAACTCTAGAGACCCGTGGATTCGATATTTATTACTTGTGTCACTATACTGCAGTCCCTTTCATTGGTTACACTTGGCCATTGTTAGGTGTTGTGTTTTAGCGTGTCAAGTTTTTGGCGCCGTTGCCGGGGACTTTCTAGATTATTAGGAAAGGCAGAAGTTTGTTACTTTAGCGTTTTTCTTTTCTTGTCCACCCTTGCTTTTCACTTGGGTGTTTTTGTTTTTGTTGGTGCAGATCTGAATCATGGATCCTCATGACTTCTCCAACCATTGGGGGTATCTACCACCGTCCGAGTGGTATTACCCCGAGACCCCCTGGAGCAATCAAGGAGGAGAAGACTATGGATTCGGGTTCCAGTACCAACCCCCTTACTACGGAGAACAATCAGACCCCTGGGCATATCAAGAACAATCTTCTTATCAAGAAGAATTCCTCCCACAACAAGAAGGGCCATCAGATCTTGAGTTAGCCACAACCTTCACGGGCCACTCTGCAGAGCCATGCTACACTTCACTGGAAGATCCGAACAAACAATTAAGGCTTCTCGTGGAGCAGTTTGCTCGAGACACTGAGAGATCATGCTCCAAGATGGATCTTCAAATCAAAGCCCTTGCCCCTTCCGATCCCTCATTTCTCCATGATATGGAGGAGACTGTTCAGCGCTCAGCGAAGCAAACAGAGTGGGTGGAGCAAGTTTGCTCACATCTTGCTCAAGATCATCTTTCTGCTACCACGCTAGAAGAGGTGGAGGATGACAAAGGCTACGGGGATGTTGAGGAGCATACAGAAGTTATCACAAAGAACTCCCATGATAATCATGATCAGGAAAGTCCTCTGGTTGCAGATCACACATTTCCTTGCTCTAACATGCTGGGCCCGAGCGAGGAGATGCAAGATGATCACATTGAAGAAATTACATGGCGACTTGCTCTCCAATCTGTGCTAGAAGATGAAGAGCAAGAAAGGGTGCAGAAAGAAGTTGTGGACGATGACGAAAGTGAAGCAGAAGGAGTTCTTGATCATTTCCCAGGGGTGATACCACATGAAGAAGAAAGGGGGGTTGAAGAAGCAATTGGCATCCAGGCTGAGGACGGAGTTAAGGTGGAAGAGGCCTGCACCGACCAAGAGTTACATGAGATATCTCCACCAAACTTTGAGGAACTACTTAGCAAGGACCCATTTGCACTATCTCTTTGCCAGACCAAGGCCACGTCGACATCAGTCCCTCTTGGTGGACGCGATGGTGGTCAATCGATGTTGTCATATATGGTTTGGGGCAATGAGACGAGAGAAGAGAAGAAGAGGTCTCGAGGATGGAGACTTCATCTGCATCAAGTGCACGAGCTTCCATCACCAGTCATACCACATGCTCGTGACTTGCGACTCCACCTCATTGACGAGAACCTCAACTTCAAGGAGGTTCTAGCATGGACCGAAACTTAGGAGCCATCGTCTGGCTCACGACGTGAAAGAAGCGCTTGTTGGGAGGCAACCCAACCAGTCGGTTTGCATTTCTTTCTATATTTCTCCTCGGTTGAGTCAGTTTTGTTATTTGATTTTAGAGTCAATAACTCAACCTTTGTGAGATTTTGTGTGGTGTTTGCGTTCTGATTACTCTCTCTTCCTCGAATGCATCGCCTGACCCGTCCATCATCATTCACCCTTGATCTGGTAACTTCGTTCTACCCTCCTTATCTTTCCTCCATTGAGGACAATGTCGTGCTTAAGTGTGGGGGGATGTTCGATTATGTATGCGGGTGAATGTTTGGTTGTTTGTGTGCTTGGAGCCTAGTCCACTGTCCAAATTTTTAAATTTGAGGGCTCCAAGTACGTGTTTCCTTGCAAATTGCCTGCTCAGTATGCTTTGAATTGACAGTCTCTATAGTAATGTGCAACCTATGGAGGTAGTGTAGCACTATGGAGGATGTTGAAGTATAAGATTTTTCCTATCTAGCTCTCTGCTGTGTCAGTTGATTTTGTGAATTAGTGGAGCTAAGACCTTTGAATTCATGTGGTAATGTGGACTATGTTTGAATTGTGTTATGGACCCGTGTATTGAACAGGGTGCTCATGTGGCAAATGAAAAGCAGTTGGTCCTCCATGTCGAAATCATCAAAAATCTTAAACATGGGGTAAGCCCAACATGTGTGGCACCGTTCATTGCACAAAATCGGGTTTTGGAGGAGATTTTAGTGATCCTTAGTAGGGTACTCCTACAAGGTGAAGCTAAGTTGTCTCCAGTACAAGTAAAACTTCCACCCGTTGAACGGTTTGCCTACTCGAGGATGTGTTTTTAAGGGCACAGATAGAGCTTCCGACCCCCCTTAATTTCATTGACCCTCCACACGAGTTGAGGAAAAGGAGTTAAAAGAAGTACTCTGGCGAGCGCTAGATGTACAAAAATTGCTCTTGCTCGACTAATAAGGGTCGACCGTGCAAAAGACTGCAGTTGGAACCCCCGCCAAGTGAATGAAGAAAAAAAGAGAAAAAGAAATGTAAATGAAAGTGCAAAAAGGGGTTCCAACGGTGAAATGAAGTGAAAGAGCACCCCGGTACAACGAGTCCTTGGTTGTGAATGGTGTGAGTCCTTTTGTCCATGAACTGACTGTCTTACTTCTACTTCTTCTCATGTTCCTGGCTTGAGTCTAGTACTCGCATTGAGAGAGATAGGGGACGTCTTAGAAGACCAGTTGACCTCGTAAGCTGCTATATGATCTAGGAAATCCTCTACCGATGATCGGGGTTGTTTGTTGCTATAGAGGTCTGGAGAGCTGCATTGGTTTGAGTTAGGTATGCTTGGGGACAAGCAAACAGTTAAGTGTGGGGGGATTTGATGACTCGGTGTTTGCACATGTTTTCCCCTTTGTTTCTTGATCGTTTGAGCTTTAATTATCGCATCTTTGGCCTATTTTACGCTAGGTTGTGTTCCTTTGTCATGTTTCAGGTCCTAGCACATAAAGTGAAGCATAGGCGCAAGTTTCAAGTCAATCAGAGATCAATTGGCGATTAGGGAGAAGAAACTCGGGCATGACCTGAAGAAGAATGAATTTCTACCTCCCTTTATGGACAAATAATCATGCAAGCTTGTCATGAAAAGAAATAGGACGAGACTAGGAGCGTCTGGGATCAAACGGCGACTGATTCGGAGTCCGGACGAGGGAGAAACGAAGTATTAAACAGAGGCTGAGCAAGCCACACGGGCACGACCCACACGGCCGTGTGAACTGGCCACTTGGCAGCTGGGAAAGCCACACGGCCGTGTGGCCTGGCCGCGTGATCGGGAATTTCTGTTTAAAACTCGATTTTCAGCCAAAGGAAAGGGGAGAGCTGGGTTTTTGGTTCCCAAACACCCAAGGGACGAACCCTAGAGAGAGAGAGTGACTTGGGAACATTCTTGGAGCTATTTTGGAGGATTTCTTCGCCATTGAAGCTCGGGAATCAAGCTTGGAGATGAAGATTGAAGATCTAGATCAGATTTCTGCAGTCTCTCTCTTCTCTATGGAGTAACTTCCCTTCACTTAGGTTTTAAGGAACCCTAGTTCCATGTGTTAGGATCTTTCTTGTATGAAGTTTTGGATGCTATATTGTTTGATTATAATCGATTGAGGCATGATTTATTGAGTCAATTGAATCTTGATCAAATTCTCTTGATTTCTGCTTTAACCTATGATAGATAGAATCTGATTAGGTTAAGAGAGCTTCCTTGATTGATGGTGGTGAATTGGTTATACGAGAGTTAGTCAATCTACTGCTTTGTACTGGAATCCAATTCCGGTAGTGGAGTTCTATGTTCATAGCCTCAGCTTTCTATCCCGGTGAAGGTTAGTCGCCTGCCGGGTAGTTGGACTGAGAGGGCTTGGTCAGCTTAAGAGATTCCAAGCTACTGTCGGATCTTCCGCAGTTTAATCAACAGTAGATCAACCAAAGGTAATTGCAACTTGGACCTAATTGAGGAGCTAGGGGGAATCACACCTAAGTGAGTTCACAACTTGTAATTAGTAGAGTAGTCAGTAGAGTAGTTTATAAATCAATCCTTAATCTAGTTTGCTAGATAATGAACTGAAGCTAAGTAATAGTAACTCTAGAGACCCGTGGATTCGATATTTATTACTTGTGCCACTATACTGCAGTCCCTTTCATTGGTTACACTTGGCCATTGTTAGGTGTTGTGTTTTAGCGTGTCAATGGGCAATTGTCTGTGGCCCAGCAAGAGCTTGGAATTTTGTCACACTTAACAATATAATGTTGATGTGCATTATATTACACAACATGATAATCGAGGATGAACAAGTTGATTCTAATGCTGAGAAGGATGATGACCTTGATTATGAAGTCCATGAACAACATCAACCAATCAACCAACACCTTCCAACTCTGGTTGATTACCTGGCTAGAAATAATAGGATTCGCTCCTCAACAACACATCATGCGCTTCAAAATGACTTGGTTGAGCATCTTGAGAATTTGCATGGCAATAACTAGTTTTGTATACTTGTAAATTGTATTGCATGTTTAAATATTAATTTTACTTTATGTTGCTTGGTAGTTTGTATTTCAAGTTTCGGTGTGTGATTGTATTTCATGTTTCAATAAAGTGTGAAGAGTGGTTAGTTCAAAGTTTCAATAACACTAGTTTTAATTACACATGAAATAGCTCAAAGTTGAAAGAGCACACATAGAACATAAAAACAACAAAGTTCAAAGACAACAGACAACACATTAAAGTAGTAGAGACAATATAGTACACATAGACCTTCTTCTAATTATAATCCATGACAGGAAAATAATCACCTCCACTGTCATCTCCATCTCATCCGCCACTTTTATCTCCACCTCCGCCATCACTTGGATTAGAGGTTTGATAATCTTGATCGTACCCCAAGATGTCATTCTGTTTATGCCTCTACCATCTCTTATTTCTTGGTGTCAGCCTTGATAAATCCTTCTCTTTAATCTCAACAGCCCACTTTTTTGCTTCACGCTCCCTCACTTGCTCTTGTATGCCCATTCCTCTTTCTCCTGCTCTAGTCTCCTCTCTTGAACATTCATTGTTCTGTTTTTGTACTCCATCCTTGACTTTTTTTATCTCTCTCATATCATTACCAAACTCTAGCACTTGAGTAGTGTATATGTCTGGTGATTCAGCAACTACCAGTGGCGGAGGCAGTGCATACCAAGGTGGGTCCCAGGACCCACATTGGCTCGGGAGAAAATATGTACGTCTAGGTTAACAGTGGTAGAAGGTTGTACCGGACAAGTCAACGGTAGGATATTTTATGTTGAAAATGTGGTTTAATCATGGTTCAACCATTTCATATCGCTAATATCTTCTATCAATTTCAATTCCAGCATGAGATTTTTCTTATCAAACCACTAGTACGCTACGGTTTTTCACTCATTAATACAATAATTAAGTGACAATGAGATTTTTCACCTAAAATTCATCAATATTGATCAATATTTCTACCATTAAACAATAATTATATCATGAATTTAGCTATCATCATTATATATAATACATTTTAGTTTCTACATAAATAATATTAGCACAAAATATAACTTCATCCTCCAAGCTTCAAATCCTTAATTTATCCATTATCTATCGCCAAAGCCTCATTTTGTTGAAACTCACTAGATGCTTTTTATCCTAATAATGAATTCAATAAATCAGGTTTTAGACTCGAACTAAGGCTACACTGCAAGTGTTGAAAGAAAATTTTCAATGAACCACGTGGATATTAAAAAAAAATCGAACCCACCTTACATATAATCCTGACTACCACCTTACCTTTTTTCTTTGATGCCTTTTGTTTGTTGCGTCCTTCAAGGCGAGTCAACACGAAAGGCGTAGCTCTTTTATCTAGTAAGTCATCAAGGCCTTCCACGGGAGAGGATTGAGAACCAAAACCTGTGGGAGAACTTTGGGAACCTTGCCCCATAGGTGGAATGAGACTAACAAGCAGTTCAGGATTGCAGTACCATTTTGGACAATTTTGAAGAATCCCAAAACAATGCTCAAAAGCAAAAGCTTTGTTCCTATTCTTTTACTTATATATTGCTCTTGCGTCCTTTTCCTATGAAAACAATTAGTACATGGGCTAGAGAAGTTAAAGTACATAACAAATAAGAAAATAACAAGTTAAGGTTCCAAAAGAATACCACATCAAATTGGTTCGTGCCACTCGATTGATGCCTCTGCTCTCTTTGCAAAACTCCCTTCCAAGCATTGCATTGATAGGTGATAATCCTCATTCGGGACTCCATTTCAATCGCAATACGAGTTGTAGTAGGATCCCATCTTTGATGTTCTGCTGCCACTCTTTCCACTAACCTTGCAGACTTTTAGTTGGTGCCAACCGCTCAACACCCAAGAGCTGCACAAGATTTCATCTTCATTTGGACGCCAATTAGCTCCTCTCTTGCCTGCCATTTTTCCGTTTTTAGAGACGATAAGAATTGAATTGTGAGAGAATGCGATTTATGCTCCGAGAATCAATGTAGTCATAAGCGAGTTTCTATGTAGAAATGTTTTGGTGATCTAGAAGCGTCAAAACGTAAGTTTTTAAGTTTTAAAACAGAGTTTTTAACTACACAAGTTGTAAAAACAGATATTTTCTTTAGAAGCATTTTATTGACCTAAAAATGTAAAATGGTAAGTTTTAATTTTTAAAGCGCGATTTTGACTACATTGCTGAGAATGAGTGAAGAGAAATCTATGAAGAGTGCTGGAATATATAAGAAAAAATATGACCATTTTTTAGTGTCGTTAAAATATGACTGTAGTTTCGTCATTACGTCAATTTCGCATTTATATTTAAAATTCGTCCACAAACCAACAAGTTAAATGCACAAACCAACAACCAATGGAAAAAGTGAGAGAAAAAGGGGTTGTCTCTGTGAGAGGGCAGAACCACCCCTTTTCTCCATCAATATTTGGCATCCCACACCCAACAAGAGCTAAATTTAGCTCCCCATATCCTATTACACAATTTTGGCAGCCGATTGTTTCATGGGTTGGAGCTTGAAAAAAAGCTAAATACGGCTTTATAGCATTTTAGCTCCTTGGGCTAGAGTCAGCCTAAAGTGCAAAGTTAACAAACTTGAAGCGTCCACCAACCACATGCCTAAAACATGAGTAACTTCACTTGCAACACAAACACACAACTTGCCATGAAAAGACTTGTCCAAGAAACAACAAACCTCTAATAATGTGAAACAAAACTCAAAATAGAAAACTCAAACAAAGAGATGCAAAAGTCATTACATCAGCAACACCAAAAAATGAGACCATAAATTGATTTTGCAAACAAAATGCTCCAGTTTTTTCACCTAGTTTTATGTATACTTATTAGCTAGCAAAACAGTGTGTCCACCCACATTGAAAGCCCAACCCAAAGAACAAATAAATATGAAATAGAACACCAAAAGGTAAAAAATTATTGAACTCATTAATCCTTAATACAAGAGTTCGAACAAAATACCTTTTAATCAACCAGAGTCTAGTATCATGAAAATCCCAAATCCAGACCTCTCTGGCCCTATTGGCAGATGTAGGGAGAGAGAGAGGCTAGAGCGTGGGGTATGAATGAAGTTGGAAGATATCACCCCTATTTCCCGCATCTGTCTTCTCCCTCTCAGGAAAGCTCGTTTTTTTTCTTTCTTCAACGACATGTCAATAGCGAAGGGATGAAGAATTGCATATATAGTTTCAACGCCTGGTGGTGGACGGAAGATAGCGTATCTCTAAACGAGACGAGAAGATGTCCCAAAATCAGCCCTCGCCCTTCCAACTCGGAAACAGAGTCCCTCGATTCCCCTCCCCTAATCACGGCCGATTCCTCCTCCGTTGATCTTTAATCCTTCTCCTCCGGCATAGGAACATCAACCGGGATAACTCTCCGACGATGATTGGGTGGACTTCCGATCATCATAAATGATCTTCCGGCCGTTACTATATTTAATGGGATTGAAAT